GAGAAGACTCTTGAGAGTCCCTTGGACTGCAAGAAGATCAATCCAGTCAATCCTTAAGGAAATCAGTCCTGAATATTCATTGGAAGGACTGATGCTGAAGCTGAAGCTCCAATACTTTGGCCACCTGATGCAAAGAACTGACTTATTGGAAAAGACTCTGATGCTGGGAAAGAGTGAAAGCAGGAGGAGAAGGGGAAAACAGAGGATGAGATGGTTGGATGGCATCACTGAGTCTATGGACATGAGTTCGCGAAAGCTCCAGGAGTTGGTGATAGACAGGGAAGCCTGGCGTGCTGCAGTCCACGGGGCTGCAAAGAGTCAGACATGACTGAGTGACTGAACTGAGACTGAGATGTGGTTATGTTCTCACATGGCCTTTTCTCGGCACGTTCGTGCATGTACACGCACACACACACACAGATTGACATCTCACATCTCTTTTTCTTTTTATAAGGACACTAATCCAATCATGGGGGACTCCCCACTTAGGATCTAGCTACCTGTTTACCACCACCAATCAAACTGGATATTGAGGATTTCAACAAAAGAATTTTGAGAGGACAGAAACTTCAGCCCATAGCACTTGATAGTATGTATTCTATTCAGAATCTTTGGACTGCATCTTAGGTTCTACTTCCCAGAAGTAGACCCTGAGATAAGGATCCATGAAAAAGTAGTTTATTAGGAAATGTTCCAGAAGACCTTAGGCAATGGGATTGTGTAAGAGTATTCTATGAACATCTCACAGGCATAATTCTTTCTTAATTCTCCAGTAAGGTAAACCATCCAGAGTAAGGCAAAGGTTACAAATAGCACCAAGGGGATGTAAATTCCCCTGCAGTTACAGCTCTTAAAACGAATAGCCTGGGCAGGCTGAGAGTAGCCTTGTAACTAAGAGATGCAAGTAATGATTGGTAGGAGTAAAAACACCTTATGTAGGAAAAAGATAGGCTATGGATGGTACAAAACTAGCAAGCTGAAAGAAACAAAAACCCATCCAAGCTAATATAAGCAAAAGGATATCTCAATTATGATTTCATTTGGCTGCATATAATAAAAACTAGATTCAGTGCCTAAGAAAAAGAGTTTATGTTTCTTATACAATAGGACATTCAGGAGTTGACGGTTTGGGATTGTTACAGCTTCTTTCTGTGTTCCAGTTCTACCTTCTTGCTTAGTGCTTCATGATTGCAAGATGGCTTTTCTACCTCCAGCCTCAGGTATACATTCCTGGTAAGAAGAAGAGGAACAGAAGGCAGCCATATGTGTATCAGGAAAGCAAGTATTTCCAGAAATCTAGAGCAGCCTTCCGATTACTCTTTATTGGCTCTGAGTTGCATAATTACCTTTAGATGTAAGGAATTCTGGGAGGTGGCCTGCGGCTCCCCTAAAAAGAATAACTTTTCTTTTAGTACAGAAGAGAGAAAGGACAATGACTGGGCATCCTGTAGTGTCTAACAATAGGGAAGTTTTCATAAAAATACAGTGGATGCCATCTTACTGGCACAGCTTGGATCCCTCAGGGATGGTGACAGAACTCGCCAGAGGGGTTTGTGTTTTATAAGCTAAGTCTTCATAGATAATGGAACATGAATGTGCAAAGAGGAGATATATGAACTGCACATGCACACACACACACACACTTAGGCAGGCTGGCTTAGTCCTATGTCACAGTGAGCAGTGGTTAGTGTACATGCCAAGTGGTTAAGCTGGCTGCACATGCCAAGGCTGGGACCAGGTCCATAGTGGTGGCAATGATGGTGACGGCAGCAGCTGAAGCAGCAGTAGCGGCAGCAGCAGCAGCAGCCTCAGCCCTGGGAAGCAGAGGGGCTTCTTGTGAGAACAATGCTAGGATCAGTGGTGGGAGGCCAGTCTGCTGGTCTGGCCGTGGAGCTCCTCTCTGGGGCACTGACACAAATCTTAAATCTTTGGCCTGGAACCACTGGAGCTCAGCTGGTAAAACTTGGCCAGCAAATTAATACTAAATAGAAAAATACACGTGGGCATTGCAATAAAGCCTATCAGTAAGTTATTAGGACTCTTTATAATTTAAAATATCTAGTTTTGAAAACTGCTGCAACATTGCAAAATAAATATCCACAAGCTTAGAAACAGAAATTAAATTTAAGGATGATCACATTTGATGGCAAAGGACACTACTGTCATGTGAAGCATCAGATGAACCAATTATTGATCAAAAAGGTAATTTTACAATTGTCTCTTTTGTACTGGAAGATACAGTGATACAAGACAAAGGCAGATGTTTGAATTACATACAAATCATAAAGTCAGATTTTTGTGTAACCTGCATAAATCATAGGAAATATTAACATGCTGTTGTTCAAATTTACATTTAAAATTGGATCCAGACTCACATGAAAGGGATTTGTATGAAAGACTACATTTTTAAAGAAAAATTATTCTTCAAGAATCATCAGCTTTTGATGTGCTGATATTTGTATTTCAAAATAAATAATCAGAAAATTTCCCCAAAGTTTTCACAGCTTATAACATACTCTTAACAGCTCCAGTAACTGGAGTTACCTCAAAATGAAAAATATTCAAAAATCATTTACAATCCTGAGTTTTCTAAGAGCAACTCATATTGCTTTCAATATCATTAGAAAATAAAGTTGCTAAAAGTATAAATTTTGATGGCTTAATAATTACATTTACAGATGTGAGCCAGGAAAGTCTTAGCATCAATCAAACTACACTAATAAAATATTATTTATTGTGTTATATAAGATTGTAATAGCAAACATATTATTTTGTTCATTTTTTAAGTTCAATTTGTAAATGATTCCTATATATCACTATTGTTACCTTGTTACAGTCTGAATTCTGTCCCCTGTCCCCAATTTGTATGTTGAAATGCTAACCTTCTCTGTGATGTAGTTGGAGACAGAGCAATTAAAGAGGTTATGTTCTTGTTCAGTTGCTATGTCTGACTCTTTTTGACCCAAGTCCTTATAAGAAGAGGAAGAGACAATAGGCATCTCTTTTTTTGCGTGTACAGAGGAAGGGTTATATGCGATACAGTGACAAGATAACTGTTTGCAAGCCCAGAAGACTGGTCTTACCAGAAACCCTAACAACACCCTGATCTTGGGCATCTAACCTTCAGAATTGTAAATTTTGTTGCTTAAGCCACGCAGTTTGTGATATTTTGTTATGGCAGCCTGAGTTGACTAATACAGTCCTGTACAATTGATAAACAATTGTAAAGGAAAAATATATTGTAATAACTTTAGTGCCATCCCCTTCCAACAGTTGCTGTTGAATAAGGGGTTCCACATTTTCATTTTGTGCTGCACCCTGAGAATTTTACAGCTGATCATTCTCTGAATTGAGGTTGCCTGTGTCTCTCCTAGGGCTTCAGGGTGGCTCTTCTCTCTGTTTTCTTTCTCTCCAGTTGGCTTTTCCTGGTTGCATGTAGCCCAAGAAGGCACTTCCATCTTGACTCTATCGTCCTCTCAGATCAAGCGCTCAGTATCAACCCATTAGTTCTGCGTCAGAGCCCTGACTTTGTATTTCTAAAAGAGAGAATCTAATTGGCTTGGCCCAGCCTATGGATTTATTGGTCCAGTGTTAGGTGTCCATCAGTTCTAATGGACTGGGGCCACACATGTGGACCTGGTTAACCAGGCCTCCAGCTGCAGGAGCTGAGATGGATGGCAATTGCAAAGGTTGTGAAGTGGGCTTGTGCCCTCAACTGAGGCAATTAAGATGCATACCTGAAGGATTACTGGCTTCAATTCCAAGCTCAACTTCTTTTCTAAGAGTGTGCATTATCGTCACTCCTAAATATAACCAACCATAGTTTAAAAAGCAGAAACCACTGCTCTGTGCTAACAAGTGTTTCAGGGCTGTATTCCTCAGTTCTCTGCTGACAAAGAATCCATTAAGAATAGGATTAGGTAGGTGGAGATTTTCAACAGAATAATGCAATGCCCGTGCATTTTTAGTTGAGGGTTCTCAATTCATTTCTACAGGGATTTTTGACAACCTTCCTCATTTAACATTAAACTGTATTTGAAAAAATTAAAAACAACAAAGATATAAATAAACAGCAACATAAATATTTTCCAGTGAGATAAGTTTTAATAACACACTTTGGTAAAATTCATATATATCATTTAAAAAGTAGAGTAAAATCAGAAGTTTTGCTATACATGTTCAGAAGCAAATTTGAAAGAGTACTATTGAAATAAAAGTACAAATTAAAATGATTGATTACTGACAATTACCATATGATGTCACTTATATGTGGAATCTAAAATACGGCACAAACGAACTTATTTGCAAAACAGGAACAAATTTACAAACACAGAAAATAAACTTATAGTTACCAAAGGGGAAAGAAGGTGGGGGAGGCATAGATTAGGAGTTTGGGATTAGTAGACACAAACTACTACATATAAAATAGATAAACAACAAGCTCTTACTGTATAGCATAGGAAACTATATTCAATGTCCTGTAATAGACCAGAATGGAAAAGAATATAAATATATATTTTATATATATTATATATAATTACATTATATTATAAATATTATATAAAAAGAATATACAAAGAATATAAATTTATAGAAGAATTATAAAAATTTATAAATATAACTGAATCACTTTGCTGTACACCCAAAACTAGCACAACATTGTAAATCAACTCTATATCAATTAAAAGATCACCAATTTTCAAAAAGTTTATTTTTTTTTTCTCATTTTAAATTTATTTTTAGTTTTTCTTTTTTTGTAAACAAATGATTGATGAAATAATGCAACACCTTAAATTCAAAAACATGGTGTGGTTTTCCAACCGTCTGTGGATGCGGTGCCTGATCAATCTATTATATAGGATTAATACAAGTTCATGCTTTTTGTGTTATGGTGAGACATTAAAGAATCCAATTTAGATTGGTTGAAGCACAAGTATAATAATCCTTGAATGTGATCAAACCTATGCAGAGACATGAGTTTGAATCCATTATCTTGAGTCTTAGCGTCGTACTGTGGTCCATCCATCTTCATCAGTCTCATTTTTAGTACGACGAAGAGATTCCCTATCTTTCTCAGCTCTCCAGGAGGTCTTCTCTTTCTCACCTTCCCTATCTCGGTCTCGATCTCTCGAAAGAGCTGCAGGAGGAACACGACGAGGGGTATCCCTCTCTTTTGCCCGGTCATCTTTCCTGTCATCAGCACGTCTCCAAGAACTTACTTCCTCGCGCTCTGATCTGAGAGGCGGTCCTCTTCGGTCCCTGTCGTCTCGTCTGTCCCTTAGATCACGACGATCATCTCTCTCACGACGCCGGTCATCGCGGTCCCTATCGTCACGACGACCTGCATCTCTCCAGCTTGAAGACTCCTCAGCTGGTCCTCTTCTCCAGCCACTTTCATCCCTTGGCCGTCTGAAGCGGTCCTCTCGATCACCATCTCGGTCTCGGTCTCTCTCTCTCTCTCGGTCTCTCTCTCTCTCTCGGTCTCTTTCTCTCTCCGGGTCCCTGTCGTTCTCATCTCTATCTTAGTCACATCTTAGTTACCTCTAGGTAACTTTCAGACTTATTGACAACTCCTCCTGTCTGGAACACAGCAGTGGGACAAAGTTCCCTGAGGTGCTGAGACAGCTCTCACAGAATCAGTGCACTGAAGCTCATTTGCTTTAATTGTAGAAGAGGGACCTCGTCAGGGCTGGTTCACCCTTACTTTATACACTCTCTTAATGCCTTTGATTTTCTGGTTTGCTAGCCCACAGCAGATTGAAACCAAAAATTAATTAGGGTAGTGGAAATAAGTGAATAAAAAGCAGGAATACTGCTACAATTTATAAAGTGGTTATTAACAACAGAGAGGAAACTGAAGAGGAGAAACAGTAAAATCACAGTAGTGTGGAGACATTTAATACACCCATGCATCCATTTAGCATCTCCCATGCATTTAATAAGCATAAGCTGAGTGCCTCCTATTAGCTTAGCACTGTGCTCAGTGTCCAAGACACGGAGATTGAAAGCTAATGCCTGCCCTCAAGGGCTTATAATCCAGCATACAGACTGCCAGATAAAAATGCTGTTATGATATGCTGCTGCTAAGTCGCTTCAGTCGTGTCCGACTCTGTGTAACCCCAAAGATGGCAGCCTACCAGGCTCCTCTGTCCCTGGGATTATCCAGGCAAGAACACTGGAGTGGGTTGCCATTTCCTTCTCCAATGCATGCATGTATGCTAAGTAGCTTCAGTCCTGTCCGACTCTGTGCGACCCCATGGACAGCAGCCCACCAGGCTCCTCTGTCCACAGGATTCTCCAGGCAAGAACACTGGAGTGGGTTGCCACTTCCTTCTCCATGTTATGATATAGTATGGTGAATGATTAAGTGCTGGATAAGACTGAATCCAGAGCTATGAGCCAGAATGCATTTAAGTGGTTTCAGGTGAGATATGAAGAAGCCCCAATTAAGGCAGTGGAAATGAAGAAATGCATGAGACATGAAACGTCATGGAGGCAGAATTTCCAGTTTGGGATGACTGATTGGATGGGAGAAGTGAGGAAGAAGGAAAAGTCAAGTATGGCTCTCAGATTCCTGGCTGGTGTGAAAACACAGGGAGAGGCTCCAATCGCCCCAATAAGGGCATCACCTTATTATAGTTGACAATTTAAATGAAGACTTGGGAGTCATGACAAAAGGTCAGGGAAGTGTGGAATCCATTTAGTAGTGATTTTCTGTGTTGGGGAATAAAACACCTCATTGGAAGTGGATGGTACACAGAGAAGTCCTTGTAAGTTCCTTGAGGGTAGGACATACATCATTTATCCTGGTGTCCCCCATGCCCCAAGATGGTGGATTCTTAATAAGAATTTATTTATGTGAATCACAGGAAACAGAATCACTTTGACCTTTTCTAGTCATCTCCCTTTAGGGAGTAAGACTAAACAGAGGAAATTTGTATTAATAGATGTCTTTTGTGCTTGAGCAGATAGCTGTTGGCGCCAGACATATTCTTCTTTCAAACAGGATTTTTCTTAAGGCAACTGGAAAGTCTATCTTGCCGTGTTGGATCAGATCTTCTGAAGACCCTGGCAAGTAGCCTTTCCATCTCCTGAGGTTACCAGTGGCTTTTATGAAAGTCAGTTCAGTTCAGTTCAGTTGCTCAGTCACGTCCAACTCTTCATGACCCCATGAACTGCAGCATGCCAGGCCTCCCTGTCTATCACCAACTCCTGGAGTCTACCCAAACCCATATTCATTGAGTTGGTGATGCCATCCAACCATCTTATCCTCTTTCATCCCGTTTTCCTCCTGCCCTCAATCTTTACCAGCATCAGGCTCTTTTCCAAGGAGTCTGTTCTTTGCATCAGATGGCCAAAGTATTGGAGTTTCAGCTACAGCATCAGTCCTTCCAATGAATATTCAGGACTGATTTCTTTAGGATTGACTGGTTTGATCTCCTTGCAGTCCAAGGGACTCTCAAGAGTCTTCTCCAACACCACAGTTCAAAAGCATCAATTCTTCAGCACTCAGCTTTTTTTATACTCCAACTCTCACATCCATACATGACTACTGGAAAAACCATAGCCTTGACTAGACGGACCTTTGTTGAAAAAGTAATGTCTCTGCTTTTTAATATGCTGTCTAGTTTGGTCATAACTTTCTTTCCAAGGAGTAAGCATCTTTTAATTTCATGGCTGCAATCAGCAGATACCAATTCTCTCCCTGATACTGCAGGGTCTGGAGGGAGTGGGCAGTGCCACCTTGGGCAATGGGAGTGGCCCTGTGTACTCACAGTATTAGTCGCTCAGTCGTGTCCAACTCTTTGCGACCCCATGGACTGTAGCCCACCAGGCTCCTTTGTCCATGAAGTTCTCCAGGCAAGAACACTGGAGTGGGTTGCCACACAGTCACTCTGCATTCTCACTGGTCCAGGGATGGGGGTGCAGTAGGAGGCTGTCATTTCCTGAATGCAAGGGGACCTCATTCAGCCTTCCTGACCCCTAGAAGGTTCCTCGTGGGTATCTATTCAGAAAATAAACTCCTCTCTGAGAAGCAACTTGTAAACAATTAATTAAGTCAAGATGCATTAAAAAAAGCTCAGAATTAGGTCAGGGTTGGAGGAAAGGAAGAAACCGTCTAGATACATAATGGAATTTCTCTGAAAAGAACTGTTTTTGTGAGTTTAATCACTGACATCTACTGGAGCAATGCTATTTTTTCATTTGAATGTTTAATTTTGAAAGTTAAGCCTGAGAAGTAGAAGCATTTTATCCTTTATCAAATAGCTATGAGTCATGGTGGATATGTCTGAAAAAATCAGTTATAAGATCTGGGTTGGCTTTGAAGCAGAAACAAAAACAAGATAAAACAAGAATCACATCGCACAAGGAAAACTGACTTCCAAAAACACTCTCAAGAATGCTCATCCTTAAGAGTGAAGCATAGCTTATTCCATCAGATTGCCAAATTGTGAGATTGAATAACAGATTTTGTCACTACAAAATCTCTGATTGGATAAACATCCCACTGCAAGGATATGGGTGTGTGAACTAAAATGAGAGAGGGCTGTAGGCATGCTTGGTCTTTATGTCTTATTTTTTATGTCTCTTCTTTGAAGGAGTCATGCTTAAACCCCCAGAGCAACTGGGATTTTCTGTAGACCTTAAAGATGGTCTGTATGTGTTGCTGGCTAGTTGCCAGCTAGAGGTGAGCCTTCCCACTTTGGCTGTCTCTCTGCGGAGAAATCATTCTGGAAGCATTTAGCTGGAAAGCCGGCCACCAAGGAAAGGGTGCAGAGCCTAGCTCCTGGGGACAGAGTGTGGATGAGGAGGGAAGGGGCATTCCTGACTTCTCCCTGGCTTTGCTCTCCTCAAGCAGAGGTCACCTGTCAGTGGGAGGGCTTGGTCAACTCAGAGCTGACCCCGAGAGCTGGTGGGGCCTAAGACAGACAGGCAAAGGGGGGGATCTGGGGGCTGCAGCACTGGTCACAGTGACCAGACCCTGCTGGTTTCTGAACGCAAGTGTGTGTGCGTCTTGGGGTGGGGGGTGGCGCGCTGAGAATGGAATCTCCTGTTAACAGCGGCTCCTTGCCCTTCGTGGGGGGTGATGAAGACATGACAGATTCTCCTCTGGGAAGGCTGTGGGATCCGAACGAGCCATTTTTGGATATACATGTCAGTGGCTTTGCCTGCTGCAGTTCAAGGAAGACGTAATTGCTGTGTGCTAACTCCCCGCACGGAACCACCCACCTCCCTGGAAGCTGAGAGGCAGACTCCCGCGGAGGGAAGGGCGTCAGAGGCTGCACCTGCTCGCCGTTGCTTCCCACTCCGGCTTTCTCTGAATTCTGACCCTGACAGCCATTGGGACCGTGACAGCCTTGAGGAATTCAAGCGGGCAGAGGCCAGAGCATCCGCCAGGGATGTGAAGACAGCTTGGGCTGTTCCACAATTGAGGGCTCATGTATGACCCAAAGTGTGAGTCGCTCAGTCGCCTCTGACTCTTAGTGAGCCCATGGACTGTGGCCTGCCAGGCTTCTCTGTCCATGATATTCTCCAGGCAAGAATACTGGAGTGGGTTGCCATTTCCCTTCTCCAGGGGATCTTCCCAATCCAGGGATTGAACCCAGGTCTCCAGCATTGCAGGCGGATTCTTGACCTTCTGAGCCACCAGGAAAGCCCCACCGTGACCCAAAGGTGGGAGCCTTCTCTGCAAAGACATGCCAGGGTTTACACATTCTGAGATAAATTCTGGGCCTGTCTAAACTTTTGCTTTGGAGACCACTGATTTCTATATTTTCCCTGGAAACACAGATGTGACTCAGAGATATTTCTGTTTGCCACTGATCTTATCAGATATGTAGGGTCTTTGCTAGATTCTTGTGAATGTTGAAATTCATAATTCCTTTCTATCATACCTACCACCAAGCCTAGAATTCTATTTAAAAGTCAGACTTATTGAGGGTTAGGGTACTTGCTGTTCCAATATATTTGCATTTTAGATTCTACACAAGCCAAATATGACTTCCTAAGTGAGCATGGTACCTAGCACTATTGAAATATTCAGCTAACATCCCACTGACAAATACACACTTTACTTTGGTTCTTTTAAACAGTTAAGGTTACAGGTTCACAAGTTTGTATGAACTCCTTTATCTGTGACTGGGTTGAAGAGCTATCAAAATTCCTGGGGTGGTAGAACTCCGTTGTTTCCTAGTTTCGAATCTAATAGATGTCAGTCACATGGGACTATTCACCTTCTGTTGTGTCCATCTGGTTTTACTTCCTAATTTCAATTACATTTTTTAATGTTCCTGTCTGAGTTTATACCCTGTGCCTGTCCTTATAACATTATTGGAACAATACAAGTCATTTAATTCTCACCATAATTACTTTTTCTGTGACTCTTTGGTCTTTAAAAATGCAATAGCTAGCTGTCTCCATCTTCCTGAGAGTGGTCTGGTAACAGAGAGAGTCAGTGTGCTCATAATAGAATTTCCACACTTGTTAAAATGTCACAATTGACACATGACCATAATGAAGATGAGAAAATATGTGAGCAGGAAAAAAACCAATGCATTCACATGTGCATATTTATAAATATATATTTAATATATATGTATATTTGTAAAAATGTGATACATTTTATCACTTTTTAATATTTTCCTGTTTAATATAATATGAACATGTTCCTTTATTCTAATGGTTGCCTAATTTTGCCTAGTATGGTTGTAATAAAATTAACCTTTTATTAATGAAAATTCAAATTATTTAAAAATCCTTTTTATGGTCAATTCAGTGATGAATGTAATTATATGTTTGTGCCTGTGCTGAAGTATTTTTGTAAAGTGAATATTCTGAATGTAATTTCTTTTTGACCATGTCTCTGCTCATGACCTCTGGTTCCAAATTGGGAAAGGAGTATGTCAAGGCTGTATATTATCACCCTGATTGTTTAACTTATATGCAGAGTACATCACATGAAATGCTGGGTTGGATGAACCACAAGCTGGAATCAAGATTGCTGGGAGAAATATCAATAACTTCAGATATGCAGATGACATCACCCTTATGGCAGAAAGCTAAGAGGAACTAAAGGGGCTCTAGATGAAAGTGAAAGAGGAGAGTGAAAAAACTGGCTTAAAGCTCAACATTCAAATAACCAAGATCATGGCATCCAGTCCCATCAGTTCTGTTAAGTTCAGTTGCTCAGTTGTATCTGACTCTTGGAGACTCCATGGACAGTAGCATGCCAGGATTGCCTATCTATCACCAACCCCTGGAGCCTGCTCAAACTCATGTTCATCGAGTTGGTGATGCCATCCAACCATCTCATTCTCAGTCTTCCCCGTCTCCTCCTGCCTTCAATCTTTCCCAGCATCAGGGTCTTTTCCAATGTGTCAGTTCTTCACATCAGGTGACCAAATATTGGAGCTTCAGCTTCAGCATCGGTCCTTCCAATGAATATTCAGGACTGATTTCCTTAAGGATTGACTGGTTTGATCTCCTTGCAGTCTAAAGGGCTCTCAAGAGTCTTTTCCAATACCACAGTTCAAAAGCATCAGTTCTTCAGCACTCAGCTTTCTTTATGGTCCAATTCTCACATCCATACATGAAAGTACTGAACTCAATATGCCAGCAAATTTGGAAAACTCAGAAGCGGCCACAGGACTGGAAAAGGTCAGTGTTCATTCCAATTCCAAAGAAAGCCAATTCCAAAAAATGTTCGAACTATCGCACAATTACACTCATCACACACGCTAGCAAAGTAATGCTTAAAATTTTCCAAGCCAGGCTTCAACAGTATGTGAATCATAAACTTCCAGATATTCAAGCAGGATTTAGAAAAGGCAGAGGAACCAGAGATTAAATTGCCAACATCTGTTGGATCATTGAAAAAGCAAGAGAGTTCCAAAAAAACATCTACTTCTGCTTTGTTGACTATACCAAAGCCTTTGACTGTGCGGATCACAATAAACTGTGGAAAATTCTTAAAGAGATTGGAATACCAGATCACCTGATCTGCCTCTTGAGAAATCTGTATGCAGGTCAGGAAGCAACAGTTAGAACTGGACATGGAACAACAGACTGGTTCCAAATAGGAAAAGGAGTACGTCAAGGCTGTATATTGTCACCGTGCTTATTTAACTTGTATGCAGAGTACATCATGCGAAATGCCAGGCTGGATGAAACACAAGCTGGAATCAAAATTGCTGGGAGAAATATCAATAACCTTGGATATGCAGATGACACCACCCTTATGGCAGAAAATGAAGAAGAACTGAAGAGCTTCTTGATAAAAGTGAAAGAGGAGAGTGAAAAAGTTGGCTTAAAACTCAACATTCAGAAAACTAAGATCATGGCATCTGGTCCCATCACTTCATGGCAAATAGATGGGGAAACAATGGAAACAGTGGCTGACTTTATTTTCCCGGGCTCCAAAATCGCTGCAAATGGTGACTGTAGCCACGAAATTAAAAGACGCTTTCTCCTTGGAAGAAAAGCTATGATCAACCTAGACAGCATATTAAAACAAACAAACAAACAAACACGGAGGCATTACTTTACCAACAAAGGTCCATCTAGTCAAAGCTATGGTTTTTCCAGTAGTCATGTACAGATGTAACAGTTGGACTGTAAAGAAAGCTGAGCACTGAAGAATTGGTGCTTTTGAACAGTGGTGTTGGAGAAGACTCTTGAGAGTCTCTTGGACTGCAAGGAGATCCAATCAGTCTAAACTAAAGGAAATCAGTCCTGAATATTCATTGATGCTGAAGCTGAAACTCCAATACTTTGGCCACCTGATGCAAAGAACTGACTCATTTGAAAAAACCCTGATGCTGGGAAAGATTGAGGGCAGGAGGAGAAGGGGACCACAGAGGATGAGATGGTTGGATGGCATCACTGACTCGATGGACAGGAGTTTGAGCATGCTCCGGGAGTTGATGTTGGACAGGGAAGCCTGGCTTGCTGCAGTCCATGAGTCACAAAGAGTCAGACACGACTGAGTGACTGAATGGAACTGATAACCTAATCACTTTGCCATATAGCAGAAATTAACACAACTCTGTTGATCAACTAGATTTAAAAAAAAAAAGGCTCCTGGTCTTTAGCTGCCCCTTGCCCTCCTCTTGTCCCAGGCTCCTCCTGGTTCACCTGCCTTCTTTCTGACCTTCCCTTCAAAGTGCAAGTGCTTGTACATCTCAGAGACATAGTACTTGCCCTTCTCTTGGCCAAGAACCCCTTCCTGGATTGTGCTTTTGCTGTTGTAATTAAAAGCTTATGGCTAAGCCCAAAGTCACCTATTCTACTATGTTTTCTTCTAGAAGTTTTATGGTTTTGCATTTTACATTTAGGTCTATGCTCTATTTTGAGTTAATTTTTTGCAAAAGGTGCAAATTTTTGTCTAGAATCTTTTTTTTTTTAACATGTGGATGTCTAGTTGTTCAACACTATTTGTTGAATATATTATCCTTTCTTCAAGACTGCCTTTATATCTTGGTCAAATATAAGTAAACTATATTTGTGTGGGTCAATTTCTGGGCACTAATTCACACAAATTTTAAAAACCATTCATTCATATTTTCCATTAGCAAATATTTATTGAGCAATTAATATATCATAGACACTGTTTTACGTGCTGGGAACATAGAGTAAAAAAAGATCAAAACCCCTGCCTTCACGGAGTTTACACTCTAGAGGTTAAGTAATAACCTGTGAGAATAATTTTGGAGTTATTCACATTATTTCACCAACTAAATATAGTGTGTCTTTCAATGCCCAGGTATTAGCTGCACTGTGAAGGTACCTGCTTCCTTCCCACCTCCATTCATTCCATTTTCACTTTCTCTAGTTGTTGGAAAAACACAATAATACAGTTTTTAGATCTAGGCATACCTGAGACTTTGAGCGCAGTAAGACACTGGTTAAGTTGTATTTACCAGCCTACTCTGATGCTTCCAACAAAAAACCTCTACTCCAGTGCTAACTGCCGCAGAGTTTTCTGGATAATTGAAATGAAAACAGGTAAGATTTATTCAGGTGAAGGGTAATATAAGCAGTGTTTTCAAAATATAAACCATGACAGAGATCTCAGTACCTCATATGGCCATGAATTAAGAATTGCCACTTAATTACAGAAAGCACTTCCTTCCTTGGAACTGAACTCTGCCTTCTAGCAACTCCAAAATACGTATCCTAATTGCATTCTTTGAAGCAAGAAACACATGGCTAATGTCCTCATTCATAGGAAAGTACTTTGCATGTGGCAGCTGTTAGGACTTTACTAAATCCTGGATTCCATCCACATTTCCCCTTATATCTTGGCTATTGGACCCACTCTGAGATGCTTTCT